CCTCCTTTAATGTAATCAAGGAAAGTAGACTCTGACTCCACGGAGAAGGACAGCAGTGTCACCTGCATGAAAACACATAAAAACACACGACTGAATTTGCAACGAAACCACACACATATACGCAAATGATGTCAGAAACTATCCTGACACAGCTTGTGTGAACGAGGCAGTGATTGAATGTGTGTGTCAGACTCATAATATAGAGCAATAAGACGACTCTGGCACAGCCATCAATCAAAGCATGATGCTCATATCAAATTATCTCTGTTTTGCTACAAGTTCCTGCTTTCATATTCACTCCCTTTCTCTTAAACACACACATGCAGATATTTACAGTGGTGCGCCTTGACTTATTTGTCACTATATGTTGATTACAATGAGCCATAAGCGCTTAAACGCCACCCACCCGTCAAAGGAAAACAAAGCAAAGCTCTCTCATTTCTTAATTAGCACGGGTTTAGAAGGGATACTCATTAATGCAGGAAGACATTTGAAAGCTACTGTCAATGTCTTTGCTTTTTCCATCACATAATTGAACACAGGAAACCGGCGTAATTAAACGCTCTGTCTGTGTGTACACACATGTGTGTGTGTGTGTGTGTGTGAGCGGATGCTGCGATACACACGCACGCTCATGTTAGTAAGCTAATCTCCGAAAGACACCACTCACCGTGCCCGAATTGACATATTTCTTCTTCTTCATCTTCTTCTTCGGATTCACCACCTAAGAGCCATTGAAAAAAACAACAACACAAAAATATAATTAAGATGGTAGATGTGGAAAACGCAAAAAATTCTCCAGTTGTCAGCACTAAAAAAGAAGATATTTTGAAACATTTCTCAGCATCAATGATATTTTGGACCCCACTGACAATGAAACATTCGGTAACACTTTCTATGAAGACCATGCTAATTAATTATAGCCCTATTTATTCTTATTATTCTATATTTATAAAGACTCATTAAGATATAAACTGTATTACAACAACAGTTATAGTTAGTTTTATCTTATTTTATACGATTATCTTTATTTGATCTATTTCTTTTATAATTACTTATAAGAAATATATCTGTTTTTTCAATGTACATGCTCATAATCCATTATACACCGATTAATAAATGGTCAAATGATAAAATAGATCCGGAGATTTGCTGTACCAATGATTACAGGAATTATTGTTTATAACTGTCACTTGCTCGTATACGGGCAAATAAATTTACTTCACTATATTACTATTAAATCCTAATCTAGGCATGACAAAAGACTCCTAAATAGATATTTTAGCGCTGTTTTTTTTTCTTACAAATTATGAATGAACAGTAATATATGAATTTATGACAAGAGTGCGCCTCAAAAAAAAATCGACGTCATTACAAGAGTTTCTGACCTTTGTCACAAAAAGTCGACGGACACACTTTTAATAATTGATACTTTGTTTTTTATTGTAAAAAGTTAATAATAAAACATAATCTAGTATTTGTCAATAAAAAAAGATAAAATCATATTTTAAAAAGTAAGGTATAAGTCCCCTAAAAGGTATAATATATATATATATATATATATATATATATGAAGAGTTCAGATGCAAAAGCCTCTAAGTGCCATTTGAAATTTTCTTCTAAAATGGTCATTTTTATCAAGCTTATATTCAAGTTCAGTAAATTCACTTAAATGACAATTAATAGGTAATCCTCATTGCAATTTAACTGAAATTACTGAACTTAAATATACAAGCTTGATAAAAATGATCATTCTAGAAGAAAATTTCAAATGACACTTAGAGGCTTTTGCATCTGAACTCTTCATATATATATATATATATATATATATATATTATTTTTTACTATTATTATATCACATATTTTAGTAGTTATCATAAATTAGGTATCATTTGGAAGCTTACGAACTCAGAATTCATCCTGTGAAAACCGTTTGGAAATTGGACGTTGTGTTACCATAGAAACAGTATTTTTTTTATTAGGCCCCTCCCCTTTTGGGCATCGTCTTTCATAATTTATTATCAAAAGCTTTTCTAATCTTGACAAAACACATGTTGTCAGAAAGGTCTGAGTCTCAAGGTTCCATATTTAGTGACAGAAGTGATATTTGGATAGAAATTTATTAATTTGTTATGGCAGAATGCATATGGTTAAATTCAATGGTATATTTTTGGTAACGCTCATGGGAACTTCAATTTTTATGATATCAACTTTAAATTTGGAACACAACTTGGTTAGATATATAGCTTTCATTTTATAGTAATTTTATAGTAAGAAATATTTTGAATTTTTTTTATTTTATAGTAAAAAAAAATATATAAATAAAGTATACTTGAATTACTGTAAATTATAACTTCCATAACTTTACTTTAATTTTTGAAGTGCTTTTACTTCAGTAATAATCTGCTGATTGCTTTCTTTAAAACTAGACCAAACCTAGGTCTACTGTATATTCCAAAGCATTCTTGAATTACAACGATTTAAGTTTGTATAGTGCAATTTAATGTCAATTATCCCTGGGGGGGTTAATGATTAAGGGTCAAACTTAAAATGTATAATGAACACATCTTCATGATTTCTTAACATTTGCATCATTTGTTTCCACTTTACTTAAAGCCATCAATGATGCATGTATGGAGGTTAGTAACTATTATCACTTACATTAAGTATTTATAAGAACGCAACATGGCTATTAATAAAATATTCACTTATTTGACAGAAGTAAATCTGAATTACTGAATTAATCTTAATCAGTGTATAATGGATTATGAGTATGCGCATTAAAAAAGCACAAAAAATCATCTTCTTATAATGCAGTATAGGTCTTTATAAATATATTTATAGTAATACTTACTCATAAATAAGTATAAATGTACCTCAGAGAAGGAAAACTTCTTAGAAAGTGTTACCAAACATTCTTTAAAATATATCTTTTGTGTTTCACAGAATAAAGAACGTCATACAGGTTTGGACCGGCATGAGGGTGAATAAATGATGACAGAATAAAAAAAATCTCTTTAAGAAGAAATTGAGCAATCAAATTAAGAACATAATGAGTAAAATATAATCCATAATACAATTTGAGAGCTATATATATAGCGTATGTCCCAAGACAAGTTGTAAAGTGTTACCAAACAAACTAAGTTCATTATAATGAACATACACTCTAAAAAATGCTGGGTTGTTTTAACCCAATTTTGGGTCAAATATGGACAAACCCAAAATGCTGGGTTAAAAATGTAATGTAAAAATTTAACCCAACGGCTGGGTTAGTCCATATTTGACCCAAAGTTGGGTTAAAACAACCCAGCATTTTTTAGAGTGTACTGCAGCCCTAACTATCAGCAACAATAGTAATCTTACTTTTATTTACGACCTATGTAATCACAAGGATTCCTTACTGTATATTGCATCCCACTTATATTCTGATTGTTAGAAATCATGAAGGAATGCTGGGCAATGCACTGACAAAATAGATTTGGTCAAGATTATAGAAGAGAGAAGGAAAGAGACAGAGCGAGGAAGAAAAAGACAGATAATGATGCTGGAAAGCACACAAGTGAAAGTGGGACCATTCATGCGACCTCTAAGCTGAAGGGGTGAAGTACAGAAGAAAGGACCAGCAACCCCTGCTCGTCCCCATTCACGTCCCAACACAGAGTAATCAATAGCTCAAATAGACTCTTTGTGCTGAGATCAATGCAAGGATCTGGACAAGAAAAGAGTTTTTGAGCATGTTCGCTCTAGACGCATGAACGATCACCCCTTCAGGTTCACAAAACCCTGAGAGGCGATGTGTAAGATGTAAATATAAAGATGTATAAAAAGGTCACATACTGGAATAAAACGTTTAATTGAACTGTGATTACATTGTTTTCTACAAATGCTTAAGGAGTAGTTCACTTTTAAAAACACTTTTGCTGATAATTTACTCACCCCCATCTCATCCAAGATGTCCACGTCTTTCTTTCTTCAGTCGAAAAGAAATTAAGTTTTTTGATGAAAACGTTCCAGGATTTTCTCCATATAATGGACTTCAATGGGAACCAAACGGTTCAAGGTCCAAAAGACAGTTTCAGTGCAAACTGCAAACTGTTCAAAGGGATTTAAACAATTCCAGACGATGAATAAGGGTCTTATTAAGTGAAACGATCGCTCATTTAATAAATAAATAACAAAGTTTAAGTTTGATAAGCTCAAATGGTCGCCTTAGTCTGTTAGGGTTAGGGTTAGGGTGTGATGCGCATTCGTGACTGTCCTATTCGAACTCGTTCGTCAAAATGAACAAATCTTTTCCTGTGTCAACTCGTTCATTTCGTTCGTTGAATGATCCAAATGACACGAAAAAATGTGTTCATTTTGATGAACGAGTTTGAACAGGAGAGTCACAGACACTCATCACAGAACAGATCAAGGCGAGCGTTTGAGCTTATAAAACTTAAACTTTGTTTTTTATTTTAAAAATGAGCGATCGTTTCGCTTGATAAGACCCTTATTCCTCGTCTGAAATCATTTAAACCCTTTGAACAGTTTGCACTGAAACTCTCATGTGGACCTCAAACTGTTTGGTTCCCATTGAAGTCCATTATATGGAGAAAAATCCTGGAATATTTTCATCAAAAACCTTAATTTCTTTTCGACTGAAGAAAGAAAGACATGGACATCTCGGATGACATGGGGCTGAGTAAAATATCAGCGAAAGTTTTTTTTAAAAGTGAACTACTCCTTTAAGGCAAAACAACCTCTTGCGTTGAGGAATATTACTACACAACACACCAGAACTCAATCCAAGGTAAATAAACAGACTTGACGCTTTGGGTTAAGCCTAACACGCTTTCTCTCAGAGACACTATGAATGTTTGATCAACCCTGAGTACAGAGCTCGCAACAACATTTTCACAGGCCACCTGAATCCCTGCTTCGTCTGCCATGAGATATAATGTGTTGATGATGTGTTGGCATCAGCACGATAGAAGATAGGAATGCTTGCGAGATCAGATCCGTTGGGAAGGGGATGGTAAATTACTGTAATAATTCAGAATCCAGGGAACACTGTCACAGTAATTCCCATTTGCATGCTTACCAAAGGCTTTAAAAACAAAAAAGAGACTTTTAGATCCCTGGAACGTTTAATGAGGATGGGGGTGGTTGGCAACAATAGAAAGGATTATGAAATATCCATAAAAATAATCAAAATTAGAATTAGAAATAGAAAAACATAGGACTGCATTGAACATTTGGAGTGTGTCTTTCAGATTGAGGAATCATTTTCAAATTAAGAATGAAAATATTTGAGGGGACTTCAATAAAACTGAAAAAATAAAGAACCCATATGGCTTTGAATATTTGACTTGCTCCGTTTTGACCCAGAAACACTTTTTGAGTTTTACGAACTGAATAAAAAAAGTAAAGTCTGCTTTCTAGTGATAAATTATCTTTCTAACAACTTTTTCAATATATGATCTGCTGCTGACACAGAAGGAATATGTAACTTGCTCCAGCATCTTGAGTCGTTTTGACCCAGAAACACATTTCTAATTATAGAATTATTTTTCTAACAATGTTTTCGATATATTCTGATTTAAATGGTTGCTTTAATAAAACTTTTTTTTGAGAAAATGTCCTTCAAAGTGCTCTTATTATGCTTTTTCAGATACTACCTTTCATGTAGTCTGTCCTGTAATATAGCTGTTTGTGAATGTAAAAGGTTGATTGCTATTGAGTACAGTTACTGTCACCTGAACCGAGTCAGTATTTCCACTCTCACTTCCTGCTGAATCTGCATTTGCATAATGCGAGCCTATGCTGTCCACTGGCTGCCGTGTACAACGTCTACTTTGACCCTCAAACACTAGTTGTATCTGAGACTAGAAGAGTTTGGTTCATGTTGTTCATGTCAAGAAGATGCCGTTTTCTGCACTGAAAATCCAATTTGAGGCAGTTTCAAAGGAATGAGACTTGAGCTGGAATTAATTGGTATGGTAAAACCATCATTACTGTTTGTATCACTTTGTAACAAGCAACAAACAGACTGGGTCATCTGACCAGTCAGAGCAGACTAGACCAATCACAACAGACTGGGCCGTCTGACCAATGAGAGCAGAGTAGACCAATCACAACAGACTGGGCCATCTGACCAATCAGAGAAGAGTAGACCAATCACAACAGACTGGGCCATCTGACCAATGAAAGCAGAGTAGACCAATCACAACAGACTGGGCCATCTGACCAATGAAAGCAGAGTAGACCAATCACAACAGACTGGGCCATCTGACCAATGAGAGCAGAGTAGACCAATCACAACAGACTGGGCCGTCTGACCAATCAGAGCAGACTAGACCAATCCAAACAGACTGCACCATCTGACCAATGAGAGCAGAGTAGACCAATCACAACAGACTGGGTCATCTGACCAATCAGAGCAGAGTAGAGCAATCACAACAGACTGGGTCATCTGACCAATCAGAGCAGAGTAGACCAATCACAACAGACTGGGTCATCTGACCAATCAGAGCAGAGTAGACCAATCACAACAGACTGGGTCGTCTGACCAATCAGAGCAGAGTAGACCAATCACAACAGACTGGGCCATCTGACCAATCAGAGCAGAGTAGACCAATCACAACAGACTGGGCCGTCTGACCAATCAGAGCAGACTAGACCAATCCAAACAGACTGCACCATCTGACCAATGAGAGCAGAGTAGACCAATCACAACAGACTGGGTCATCTGACCAATCAGAGCAGAGTAGAGCAATCACAACAGACTGGGTCATCTGACCAATCAGAGCAGAGTAGACCAATCACAACAGACTGGGTCATCTGACCAATCAGAGCAGAGTAGACCAATCACAACAGACTGGGCCATCTGACCAATCAGAGCAGAGTAGACCAATCACAACAGACTGGGCCGTCTGACCAATCAGAGCAGACTAGACCAATCCAAACAGACTGCACCATCTGACCAATGAGAGCAGAGTAGACCAATCACAACAGACTGGGCCATCTGACCAATCAGAGCAGAGTAGACCAATCACAACAGACTGGGCCATATGACCAATCAAAGCAGAGTAGACCAATCAGAGCAGACTGGGTCATCTGACCAATCAGAGCAGAGTAGACCAATCACAACAGACTGGGTCATCTGACCAATCAGAGCAGAGTAGACCAATCACAACAGACTGGGTCATCTGACCAATCAGAGCAGAGTAGACCAATCACAACAGACTGGGCCATCTGACCAATCAGAGCAGAGTAGACCAATCACAACAGACTGGGCCGTCTGACCAATCAGAGCAGACTAGACCAATCCAAACAGACTGCACCATCTGACCAATGAGAGCAGAGTAGACCAATCACAACAGACTGGGCCATCTGACCAATCAGAGCAGAGTAGACCAATCACAACAGACTGGGCCATATGACCAATCAAAGCAGAGTAGACCAATCAGAGCAGACTGGGTCATCTGACCAATCAGAGCAGAGTAGACCAATCACAACAGACTGGGTCATCTGACCAATCAGAGCAGAGTAGACCAATCACAACAGACTGGGTCATCTGACCAATCAGAGCAGAGTAGACCAATCACAACAGACTGGGCCATCTGACCAATCAGAGCAGAGTAGACCAATCACAACAGACTGGGCCATCTGACCAATCAGAGCAGAGTAGACCAATCAGAGCAGAGTAGACCAATCACAACAGACTGGGCCATCTGACCAATCAGAGCAGAGTAGACCCATCACAACAGACTGGGCCATCTGACCAATCAGAGCAGAGTAGACCAATCAGAGCAGAGTAGACCCATCACAACAGACTGGGCCATCTGACCAATCAGAGCAGAGTAGACTCTCGGAAAGGAGGCTTTTAGTGCAGTTTTTCTCAGCTGCTTTGGCCAAAACATTGGTTTAGAGAGACCTATCAAAGAGCTGATGCTACAACGTATATTATGAGAAAATTCACAGTTCTTTTTGGCACCCATCACCACACAAAAATCATTATTAGAATCAGGAGATCAACATCTCACCTCATATATATTGAACTGGCTCTGACCTCGGGCTAACTCTCTGTAGCTGGTGGTGAATTCACCGATGAAATCATGGCTAAAAAGACGAGAAGATACACAGTTGATAAAGGGAAATATCACCAAACAGAACACTTGTGTTATTCACATTATCAGCTTACCTGCCATCACGATCCCAGTCATACACTTCCACTTTGATCGTTCTGGAAAACAGAAATAAATCCCAGGTGTGTGCGACAAATCAAAACATTAGGAACTTGCATGGACTAAATGTTACACATCCAGTAACGGTGCCAAAACTGAAGGCTGAATGCAATTATAACAGCATGATTCCTGTGCGCTCAGCTTCCCGGACACCTGAACTGGCTCTTTAAAATGCAATGTGCCTGGATGTTTGCCCAGTTATAAGGCTCTTCTTCATTATTTGATCAATTACTTTTTCACCTTTTTTATCATTACCATGATTAATAGAAAGAAAATGAAAGAACAAATGCAAGGACATGTATTGTTAAAACTTCAGTTTACCAGCTGCTTTCCTCGGGCAGGAATAATGCATCATTAATTGCATCAGAAAAACTGCGGTGGGCTTCGTATCTTTTGTATAATGAGCTCATTTACATAAAATTTGCATATTTACAGATGAGTTTAGCATATACGGAATTATGATGCATCATCCAATATACTATTTAAGGGAAATAAATGGATACCTTTGCTAATTTAGCAGCTATAAAAAACCTGCCCATTAACCAGCATAAAATTAATTCAGCAAATCGCAATTATCTAATGAGAAAAAAGAAAGAAAATGTAAGCACAAATGGAGTCAATCTCACACATTTTGATCTTAACACATTAATTGATTGTGTATCAAAAGAAAATTACAGGTGCTTCAAAGTTAGGCCCTCCATTTAACACTTTTGAGTACAACAGGTGACAGTGTTAAAATAAAATAGTGTAAAAATCAGCTTATTCCAGGAAAATAATGAACATTATTTGTTGCCTATGTTGTGTTGATTCAGGAGGATTCCCAGGCTAAATAATTCAGAAACTTGTGCAAGACTTGCATCTTGATGCTAAGGCCTAAATTGAGTCATCAGTCACAATTAAACACGCAGCGCAGGTCGGGGAACGCGGTATCCGGTGGCAGGTGTTCGCTCAACGGCTTACATCCACATCGTTTTCTAAAGAAATCAAGCTAGCTACTGCCCATATTAATGAGGATGAAACACAGTCTCCTAAAGCTAGCTCATTAGCAAGACTGAGAGGCATTTCAGAAAACTTCCTATCTGCAAACAGTCCAGAACTCCCACACAAATCATTACAGCCATTTATGGAGGACGTGAATAAATAAGGGCAGAGTGATTCTGGAATAAAAGTGCAAATGAATGTCCTGGGGTTGCTGGCTCAGTTCTGCTGAGTAGTCTTGATGTTTTTTTGTTAAGCGAACAAGTGCGCTAATATGTCCCTTGATATCTGTGAATTCCTTGAGCCGCGCATGCAATTCCAAACCTGCATGACTTTTGTTTCTTCTGCTGAACTCAAAATGAGATAATTTTATGTTTGTTTAGCCATTAAAGTCAACAAGGTCTGATGTTGTTTTGGACCCCATTGACTTTCATTATATGGACAAAAACATTGTTAAAAATGTTGTTTCACAGTGTTTCACAGAAAATGAAAAATCATGTAGGTTTGGAACGACATGAGTGTGAGTAAATCATGACAGAATTGTCATGCCACTCGGCCGCCATCTTGGCAACGTCTCTTTGCAGTTATTTTGGACTAACAATACCAGGCTCTATCTAAATGAATGGGTAGAGAGTCAGAACTGCACTTTCACTGGTCACCGGGACATAAAAACATGCATGTATAGAAACAGCAGTAAAATATGATAAAAATGGCTAAAAAAAGTTTGATGACTTTGCCCCAGAATAAGGTTTAAAACGCCACAGGTTATACTTTTACTACACATGCGCAAGGGTTCTCGTCTCCACTGTCGCAGACATCAACGTCAGTGGAACAAGACGATAGGCTTAAATGTTTCCCGGCTTGACTGTTAAAAGCAGACGATTGGCTTTCCAGCGGGAGGGGCGGGGCATGTGCATACAACCACCATCTTTGGCGTTACGGGTTTTCCCTATATAGTTGTATAGGAAGTGGCATGTCTCTATATAAATTGTCTCTGCCATCACATAGAGGGAATGCATTGACGTTTGCATTGCCCTCAGCCTGACTGAGTGGCAAAAGATCTGCTGCGTGACTGGATTTAATATGGGAAACTGCGAAAATGCGACTAAAACGAACAATTTTATCAATTTAAACTAAATGTTGGACTCAATATAATGTTCCTTACAACTTACTAAAGATCCAGTGATCCATGGATATTGACATGCAGCCAGGAATCGTGTTGCCTGACATTTATGTTTGCCTGATTTCGACACCGGGGAAATAAAAGCAATACAGACCTAAACATAAAGCAAATTTGCCTGTGCACGCTTTATATAAATACAATATAAGTAGGTCTAAATCCGGGTGATCACTTATATCAGTGTTTTATATATAGCCTATATATCATCATATCGTCCGGCCATAAAACTTCATCGTTTTTTTTTTTTTTTTTTGGTCAGTGTTTATTAAAAAACATCCAATAATGCAGAATATGTATAAATATTTGATTGATGAGTTGTTAATATATATAACAATACAAAATATATGGGTATGGTTTTGCAGTTAAATTCAGCATATTGACACAAAATGATAACTGCAAATCCACCTTTGGCTGACTGGAGTCCAGTTGTTTCGATCCATTTGCTCCTCTTTCTATAGCAGTCTGTAAAAATATACCTCAAATCTAGCTGTAGAGTCAATCGCAAAGCTCTTTCCCACTTTAAATGTGTTGTGTTTACACATAGAGCCGCTCAGTCTTTTTGCCACTCACTGTGAGTAACTGCAGGCCGACGGTGACGTCACGCGCATACCCTCTATAGGAAACCATTGTTTTGTGTATGTAACAGCTATATTGACGACGTGTTGAAACCTGACTTGTAGGCAAAAGTTTCGCCCATCTTACCAGCAGCGCAAAATATCAGAAAATCTCCTGTCGTCGAGGAAGTAAAGAATCTAAAAAGCGCTCCCTCCGTGGGATTGTGGGCGGTAGCGTCTTTTGACGTTCGTTATCTTCAAAGTAGTGCGAGCACCTCTCTGAGCTTCTGTCACCTGGGCGTCATGTTCCCTGACAGTAAGAGAGAGCAGACGCCAAGACGGCTCCCGAGGCTGCCGTCTATCATCCTCACAACAGAGGAGGAGAAAATAGATTGTGCTCTGAGCCCAAACAACCAAGACGGGAGGCGGGGAAGAAGATATTTAAGGCTGAAGGTACAATCCGGAGCTGTCTTTAATTCCCATACACTGACCTCAAACCAAAATGTTGATGTGTGGGACTGGAAAGCCACACTGAATGTCAACACCAGCATTTATAGCAAAACTGTGGCGGTTTCTTGGTGAAACATTCACATGTTTCGCTTGACATTCGTCGTTTGAAAGAGGAACTTTGATTCCTCCAGAATTTCCCAAAAACTTTAGCCTAAGGTTTTCATAGATAAAACAAGGCATGCATCCTCTTCGAGGTTTATTCTTAGCCTAAAGTAGAACATCTGTGATTCATTTCATTTACCGTCTCAAATTAATTGAGATCAGAATAAAACCATGGAGACGTGTGGGGGATGTTTCATATCTACTCTTTTGAAGCTTGAAATAAACTGGATGCACACTGACATCTATTTTAATGGGCTCTGGAACTATAATTTGTGCCCCCTATAAATGTATGGGTGATATACAGACACTGTCCTCTTCGTTCACACAGATCGCCTCAGGTCAAAGGAGATAACATGCAACATCGTGTTATTTATGTTCCATATATATATTCACTGTCCCGGTTTATTTCCCTGCTGTTAGCGCTCTTTATTGATGTGTGTGGCCTGTCAGAGATATGTCTGTGCCTGAGAGCCAGGGCTCTGCTGAATGATGAGCTGAATACAGAAAGAGATGTGCTGAAAGCAGTTTATATATCAAATGAAACAGGCAACACAGCGGTAAAGGGTTATTTCACCAAAGAATCTGTCATCATTAAGTCACTCTCATTGAGAGTCAATGGGGTCCATGCAACACCGCAGCCCATTGACTTTCATTGAATGGACAAAAAAACAGTTTCTTTTGTGTGAGTAAATAGAGCGCTGAAGTGATGTGTTGGTTTGCTCGATACATATTTTTTTCATTAGATTTTGGATTATTGCAGAAAATAAGGTCTGTGTTTATGAAAAACTTTTATGTTTTTTAAAGCCTGAATGCAAAACATAGACCACCAGTCACATGACTTCAACGTCACCATCACTAAACTTCCGACAACTCTTTCAGTCTTTATTTTACAACCATTTTTTCTACTAAAATGCACCTGATTTTGGCCTACTACTGTATATAAAAATATGTCACTATATATGCTTTCTTATTTTGGAGTGAACAATGCAGTAAGTTGCAGCTCATCATTTCTTCACATTCATGGATTAAAGGAGTACACTTTTTAAAAAAAAAACTCCAGTCGAAAAGAAATTAAGGTTTTTGATGAAAACATTCCAGGATTTTCTTCATATAATGGACTTCAATGGGAACCAAACGGTTCAAGGTCCAAATGAGAGTTTCAGTGCAGCTTCAAAGGGCTTTAAACGACACCAGACGATGAATAAGGGTCTTATCTAGCGAAACGATCACTCATTAAAAAATCAATAAAAAAGTTGAAGTTTTATAAGCTCAAATGCTCGCCTCGCTCTGTTCTGTGATAAGCGTTCGTGACTCTCCAGTTCGTACTCATTCATCAAAATGAATAAATCTTGATAATAGATAAGACCCTTATTCATGCACTGAAACTCTCATTTGGACCTTGAACCGTTTGGTTCCCATTGAAGTCCATTATATGGAGAAAAATCCTGGAATGTTTTCATAAAAAACCTTAATTTCTTTTCGACTGAAGAAAGAAAGACATGGACATCTTGGATGACATGGGGGTGAGTCAATTATCAGCACAAGTTTTTTTAAAAGTGAACTACTCCTTTAAGTGTTTTTGCACCCCTAGTGGCAGAAAATAGAAATGCAGAAATATTGACTGTTACAACAGACCCGCCATAAACTCTTGCCACTGAGAAATGGGTTTCTAAGAAATGCCTCACTTCCTGATTTGGCGTGGCATGCGGGACATTTCAGCGGCGTATTGCAGCGTGGTGGCTGTCACGAACGATTAACCCTGCAGAGCAGCTCCAGCACACACAGGCAGGGACGCAATTTTGAGACACGCGGTTTTGGTTCCCCAAGCTGATTGGTCGTGACAGGGTGATGGCCCTCGCTTAGGGTTGCCAAACATTCCGTATAATACAGAATCATCACGTATTTAAGACATCAAAGTAGTGTCCTGTATTAAAGGGGTGGTTTAAAGATGTCAACTATATCTCTGATGTCCTCAGAGTGGAGTTTCACTTTCATAAATTATTTTTTCACATTTTTCATCATTACCATGATCAATAGAAAATGAAAGAACATATGCAAGAACATGTATTGTTAAAACTACAGCAGCTGCTTTCCTCGGGCAGGAATAATGCATCATTAATTGCATCAGAAAAACTGCGGTGGGCTTCGTATCTTTTGTATAATGAGCTCATTTACATAAAATTTGCATATTCACAGATGCGTTTAGCATATACGGAATGATGATGCATCATCCAATACACTATTTAAGGAAAATAAATGGATACCTTTGCTAATTTAGCAGCTATAAAAAACCTGCCCATTATCCAGCATAAAATTAATTCAGCAAATTGCAATTATCTAATGAGCTCAAAATACCCCACAGATATTTTTATAAAGCATGTTAAAGTTGTCACTTTTTGAGGGTGAGCAAAAAAGGCCTGTGGCGAGTAGGGTTGGGTATCGAGAATCGAGTATCGATTGGAACCGAGACTAACTTTTCGTTTTTCCCGGAATCGTTCAAAAGTTAAAATTTCGATTCCTAGTTTCGATATTCACAGTCCGCCGAGCGGAAGAAGAAACCGCTGAACAACACCAATGAAGAAGCGTCTACCGGAAGTGTTGGCATAACCACGCGAGTCGAACATGAGTACCTTACGTCGGCGATCCAAAGTGTGGCTTCACTTTTCTAAAAATAACGAAATCTCAGCAAAATGCAAAATTTGTGACAAAAGGAGTATTTTTACAGAAGGAGTATTTCCTTCAGAAAGGCCGTTGGTTAGCAAGGTTAGCTAAACTTTTTTGACCCTGCCTCTTAGAAGAATCGGAATCGAGAATCGTTAGGAACCGGAATCGAAACAAGGAATCAGAATCGGAATCGGAATCGTTCAAATTCAAACGATACCAAACCCTAGTAGCGAGCGGGACGAGTGAGGGCCGCGGGAGAACGGCGCGAGGCCGGTGGCGTGATTACCGATGAGCGACACCTGTGAGACGCACCGGTCTCGTATCTCTCACGGAGGAGCGGGGATTTTCTTAGCAATGTTAAAACGCACATCAACCGATCACTTGTTTAGCGTTCATGTAAACACGACATTCAGATCCACCAATCGGAATGAATTCAGTTAGATTGAAACAAAAGCTGCGCTGGTAAACAATGAATGGCGACTGCAGAAGCAAAAGCTGAATCCCGGACATCGACAGGTAGACATGTCTGGGAAAAAGAGGACGGTAACCCCTACTACTCAGCTTTCTCCACAGAACAAGAGCCTGCTAGCTTAGCTTCCAAAAAAAGATGGCCGACACTATGTGTTCATTCAGTGAGTGAGATCGCCCTCTATGGGCGGGTTGAGGACATGCGGGGCAGACCCGAATACTGACTGCATTCTTTAGCCTCTAGACAAAACATCATCTGATGATGTAAAATGACGATTTTAGCGCCATCTGAGGATTTATTCCAGACAAAAAATACATAAATCTCTCGTCTCACGGAGATATGAGGGTGGAAAGCACGGTAATATGTAAATACTACAGGTTTTCTATTAATGCTAAATCCTGAAATATCCCATTAAATATAATTTTCAAGCAATGAAGTATTAAAATAACTATTACCTGTCAAAGTCTCCATTGCAGAGAGCTCTGACTGGAATGGTGAAGGGCTGCCACACCGGGTTGAGGGTGTTCTTCACCACCTCTGTCTTGTGGCAGATTGTAAACCTTCATGTTGAGAGAACGAACAAAAACAAAGACATTGAAGCTCTGCACAACTTCTGAGGAAACTCGAATACGACTGTCATCCGCCACCTGCTCTGTTCATCTCATGCTGATCAAAGCTGACAAACCATATGGTTTGCAAAGTGTTAGTAAGTCTATAGACATCACATTGGTTTTTTAGACTTTGCAAATCCCAGATTTCTCTTTATTTTTCATGTAAATAATAAAAATGCTCTCCATTGCCTAATTATCAAACTGTAAAAATTATCATCCTTCCATTCTATAAACAGATATTACTTCAAATGTGATTATTATCCCCTCCATCAGCATCATGTAGATACTCACGTGCCGTCCTCATTGCTTCTGTAGAAGACCATGAAGGGATCGGATTTCCCAAAAAAGTCCTTCTTGTCCAATTTGTTGGCACAGAACTGCATGGTTGCACTGTCCTATAAAGGAAAAAAAGAAAAATATGTCAGTGCTGTATGCTTATATATAGCCTAGCCTAGTTTTGTATGGACTTTTATTTTGAAGTGCATTCTTTGTTCTTATTGTTGGTTTCTCTTCCTCCTCGTATTAGTTATTATATTTACCATGATACACCTGTCTTTAATTATCATTGATTTCTGTGTATTTAAGTCTTTTCAGTTGCTCTTTGCTAGTTATTGTTTGTGGTGGATCGTGTTTTTGTCGTGACTTCCTGGATGTTTCCTTTTTGTCTATGTGTAATCTTTTTTTATAGTGTGCATGCAAGAGGATTTTCTCTCAGCCCCGTTACACCTATTAAGAATGAGGAGTTGACGTCATTTTACAGAGCCCCTCCCCTTTCCGCCATGTTGGTTGGATTCCCACACCAAAACAGTATTGATTACGTGTGTTTTTAGCTCGGTAGTAGAGGAGGTTCTGTTTTCCCATGCCTGGAAGTCACTGCTGCGTTAAAAAACTACTCCAGTACCTCACATGATGTATATGGAAAACATAGGAACAATGGAATACAGTTTTTTAGGTTACTGAAATGGACACAGCAGGGAGAGTCTCTGACCTGACGAGGAGACGCCGGATTGCTTGGTTTGCTTTATTTGCTTTTTTTTTTTTTTGCTTGGTATTGCTTGGATTGCTTTAGCCTTTAGTATACGATCTTCACTGTTTGCTGTGCCTTAACGAACATATGCAAAAGTGTTGTTTGAGTGCCTGTTCATTACTTTTTTACTTCATTGAAATAAATGTTTGAAACAACTTGATATGGCCTAACAATATTTATTGAGAACTGAAATATATAGGCTACATATATATATTTGGACAACATAAGTTTCATGGACAACATAAGTAATAATAATAAAATAATAATACTGTTATTAGTTCAAAAGAACAAATATATTGATGCTGCTTCTCCAAATACAGCTGTTTTGCACTTTGTGTGAGTTTGTTCCTGTAAGGTCCCCTTTCTTTCACCTTATCTTTTAGCATTGCTTTACTTTCTTCCTTTTTTCTCGTATTCTTAGATCCGTCTCTGTCCTGCCAAAATAATAAATGCGCGAAAATTTAAGAGCTCTGGAATGTTTAGTCGCGTCTATGGGTTCTAAAGGCGTTGCCCCTGGTAACCGATAGCGTCTCCTGCCATCATGGCCGACCGGCTCAGACCCCGCCCAAATCGGCACGTGACTCCTCATTCTCAATACATTTCAAAATGGCCTAAACATATATTGGTAACATAGCATATTTCCTTTTTAAGCGTACATACTTTATTGACTTAAGATTTACTTATACTGTATTTGTTTCAGATTTAAAAATATATAAATTATAAATTCATTAATTTAATAAAATTTAAAGAACAGAAAATATGTTAGTGTATATATATATATACACACTATACACATATATTTTTTAGAAAATATTTTTGAAAAAATATAAAATATAATATCAATATTTTACCCTAAGCCACACTATTTACAACACATATTGAGCATATATTTGAAATATTTATATATTCTGCCCAGGAAAAAAAATGGTGTATGAGCTGTGCTGACATGACAGCACAACATCTGCACTGAATCGTGAATTCTAATGCAGAGAGAATAGATCAGAAACACTTTTGCCTGAAATAACTCCAGCTCAACAGTTGAGAAAACTGGTCATCAGTGAAAACACACACACACACAAAAATAAGACAATTATACCTGCAGAAGTTTACTAAAGAATTATTGATTAATGGCACAAAAAAGACTATTAAAGGGGACATATCATGCAAAATCCACTTTTTTAGCCCTTAAATGCATTTTGTTGTATATTTGGAGTGTTTATAAGTACAGAAAAAATGAAATTGTTCTCTTCAGGTGCTTCGTTTATATCTTTATATTGGTCATATTTTTCAACCTGTTCAGATTTTTCTGTTCTCTATGACGTTTTTTGAACTACAACGTCACCGTATTTGCAGCGGAACTGACAAATAAGGACATCGACTAGCGGTCCAACACTTCGAGCAATCCGCCATTTTTTTTTATCGCTCAGATTTTGTAGTCCGAGCTCAATGATGCAGAAGTTACGAGAGGGCAAGTCAAAATGTTCGGTTGTTGGATGTAGTGACCTGAAGCACTTCAAGGATTCCCACTTCAACAACCTCCGCCAGTATAAAGAAGGGTTTGCCGATCGACTTCGTCTGAATGAGGGGTCAATTCCTTCTATCATTTAGCTGCTGTGTTTTCTGATGCTTTTCTTCACGTAAGTTTATTATTATTAATACAGATTTTTAGTGGTAAGATTGGACCGTAGTCATTTATCTTGTCAGTGTGCTTGTGTTAACAAGAGAAATAGTCGACTGTGCCTAGCTAGTGTATATTTAAAGACTATCTTAGCTCAGTCTTGAAGTTCTCTTGCCTAGTCTATGCTTTTGTGTTTTCCCGTTTGGTCAACCCTCAAAGACTTTTGCTCAGACCTTTTTGACCAGCTGCTCTGGTAAACGTTGATTTGTTATTGGACTCTTTTGTCCAGTGAGGATTTGTACAACCTTTCTCAACCCAGCACTTATGCTGGATCCTTTGCGTTTGCTCAGGAAGAGTACTAAGTAAAGACTATCTGTTTTTTCCTTCTAAACCTGCCTCTTGTGATTATCTGTCAATTGGGTCCACACTACCCCAACAGAACAGTGGTTAAAACCTTGGGTTTCCTCGCTCTAGGTTCGAATCCCGGAGCAACATGCGACTGACTGACCAGGTGAGCAGTTCGTAGGATCACAAAACTCAGTCAATAAATTGCCTTTATCATTGAGGTGCCAGGCAAATGTATTTTAACGGACATCCACATAAGAAACAATAACCATCCAAATTAGGCTTTAGTTTGGTTTTGTTTGCCAGTGTTCCCAATGAATGTTTGTTTCAATGAGTGTATTGATTTGTCGCACCAGTCTCTTGATTCAGTTCTTTGTCTTGCATTGTTACCTTTGTTAAGTGAATGTTCTCCAGAGCACTCTTGTGTGGATTATCTTCATTGTAAGAAGTACTGCAATAGGGGATTATCACGCTAATACGTAGGACTTCTGGATTCAGTGATCTTTGTGCACTGCCACTTCCGTTGAATCACCGATCTCGCTGGCAAACTGATGAAGTACTACACTAAGTTTATTTATACGGCATCCCTGGTATATTAGTCTGATTAGTCTGAAACGTGCTACCTTGTTTTATTTTAAAGTTTTGATCCAGTTCTTCCTTATACTCAATTCAGTCGGGAATCCATGAAAATGTATGTAGGGTTGGCGTTGTTGGTAGATTTACAAAGTGGAACAGAGCAATGACATATATAGCCTTGATCTCAGCCATTGTTGAACTGCGTCGGAAGTGGACATGCACAAAGTTGACAAATCCCGCCCATGAAAACCGGAAGCGTGATGATCCCCTATAGATCCCTTTCCTCTTCATTTGTCCAGATAACTGTGATTAGTTTACCATCCATTTAAAATAACTCGGTAAACTGCTCAGTTTGACAGCAGCGGTCAGAGTCTGATTGACACGGTTCAAATAAAAATGTCAGAATTGTCTCATTCACAGTTCTGCGCTCACAGAGCTCATTGGAAATCAATTTTCACTTCCCCTGCTAGTCTCGTTCTGTGAAACTACTTGTACTTTTCCTGAGTTTTAAGAAAACTTCATAGTGTTATTTTAAGAAGGTAATTTGTAATTTTACTTGCATATGAACACTGTCATTAAACATGGTGTCGATTGGCTTCCAGAACTGAGCAAGATACTTCTGGGCTTTGGTGCACACACACACACACACACGCAAAGGAGCCAGAGAACAGAAAAAGAACAGAAACACGACTGGGACTACTTCAGTAAGTGGACTCGAGAGAAATAGAGCTCAGTGAAGTACTTGTAACGAATCCACTGAAGAACCCACGTACAGTGTTTTATTTAAATACAAAACAAAGACTTGCTTGGCTTGACATGAAACTATTAACTTAAACATCAACAGAAAACAGAAGTAACAGGGAACAAAGCAAGACCTTACAGTGCTAGTGTCTCGGTATCCTCAGTTAATTTGATCCTCTTTTTTGTACGGCCTTTGGGTGTGTGGAGAACTTAGTCTTCAGTAAACTCTCGGTCAACTGATTCAACTTAAAGTTTGACTCTTGGTCTTCATTAGCCGCGTTTCCACTGCCGGGCCAGGGCCGGGCCGTGCTAGTGCGTGCCAGGGCCAGTCGCGTTTCCACTGTCACTTCCGGGGCTTGATCGGGGCTTCCTCAGGGCCAACGGCCAGGATTTCTGGCCCGTCGAATACCTTGGGCCAGAGGGGGCCAGCTCGGGCTAGAGGCGTGTTCAAGGTAAAAGGCGGAGTTTATCGGTGTTAAGGAACGTTATGATCTGAAGCAAGATGCACATAGGGGTGTCCGATTAACTGTTTAAAATTGCATAACATTTTAATTTGAACTGCCTATGCCAAATGCTGCGCAACAAAGGCTATATAGCTACATATCGACGAATTTTCAGATATTTGTTTGATTTTTTTGCCCCTTAAACATTTAAAATATTTGACAAATTAATATGAAAAAATATATATATTTTACTGGTTTTCTGAGGCCAAATTAGAACCTGGAAATGATATTTTCCCCGCAGTGCTGAATGAGAAGAGCCGTAACCACAGCCTACAGAAAGGGGATTTATGGGTGATTTATAGGCTATAATAAATGTGTCTGATAATAAAATAATATAAAATAACGAGGCATTAATTGTTTATTAATAAACTATTGTTTTCTAAATGATTTTCGGCTAAAAACATATCTCCATCTCCGGATGCACATTTAGAGAGAAATTAAGCTACATTAACATAGAAGATATTGGCTTTCGATTCGAATTTGTTCGTTTTAAATTGGACATTTAAAGCTTTAATCTACAAAGGATATAACCCCTGTAGACTAAAGCTTTAAATGTCCAATTTAAAACGAACAAATTCGAATGCG